CACTTGTTTATCTTCAAGCCTTTAAGATCCCAGGCGCTATATCTTTTGATAGCTGGGCACCATCAGCTTTCTTCGCCACATTTGCTTATTCACCCACTTTGTCTTCAGCAATCATGTCAGGAAGGTGAGCATCATGGAATGCCAGTTTAGTAGAATAAAGTATTCTTGCATTGAGAGAAGTATTCTTGCATTGAGAGAGTACTTGAGTGGAGGCCCAATGTCCATCTGCTACCTTAATACTAAACCTATAAATATATGCGCATAGATCTATTTCCCCATCCTCATATATAAATATATTTACATATGTGCATGCCTTTATTTAGACCTCTATAAATGGATAGACTTTTTCCATATAAACTTTCAATAATATTTATTGACTGTGGCAGAATTGTGCCTACCAAATTAATTAATACATGTCACAATAAAGCAAGGCGAGTATTAAAATTGCAAGCATATGGTAGTCCTGGGTCACCATTCATTGGGCACCCTCAATGCAAGAGACCTGAATCAAGTCCAACAACCACCAGGTCTATACCCTTGGGATATACACAAAAACATACCTGTTTTCATATACAGAAAATCTACAGGCAAATCTATAGAGAAAGTAACTAGATTAATGATTTCTTATAGGTATGGCAGGGGAGGTTTTGTGGAATTGGGGAGCTAATAACATTGAGTACAAAAAAGAAGAAATTAGCCTAAAATGGATTGTGATAATCATGCTACAATCTTCTAGATATGATTGGACTATTGAATATTATGACATGTGAATTGTGTGCCAATGAAACTATTTTTAAAATAGCAATAATTTTTTTTAATTTAAAGATATTTTCAGACTTTGCCTCCTGTATTCTCGTCAACATTCATGGATATATTTGCAGTAAAGGTAAATACATATGTACAAAAATCCTTTGTCAAAGCTATACCTGTTCATGGATACATGCCCTCTCTCCCTCCACACCCATTCAACCTGTGTATCCATGATACACACATAAATCACCATTGTTGCAGGACTTTGTATATAATAATATTCATGTCAGTTGCCTTTAACTCTATGCCTCCTAGTGTCTGCCCCTGCTCCATCTTTTTTTTTTAATCATTTTATTGGGGCCTCTTACAGCTCTTGTCACAATTCATACATATATCCATTGTGTCAAGCACATTTGTACACATGTCATCAGAATTTTCAAAACATTTTCTTTCTACTTCAGCCTTGGTATCAGCTCCTCATTTTTTCCCTCCCTTCCCCACCCTCCCTCCCTCATGAACCCTTGATAATTTATTATTTTTTTCATGTCTTACACCTACCACTGTCTCCCTTCACCCACTTTTCTGTTGTTCATACCCCTGGGTGGGTGGGGAGGGGCATTATATGTCCGTGATTGTGATTGATTCACCTTTCTCCTCCCCAGCTTCCCCCTACACTCCTACACCCCCTACATTACTTTCATTATTGGTCCTGAGGGGGTTATCTGTCCTGGATTCCCTGTGTTTTCAACTCTGATCTGTACCAGTGTACATCCTCTGGTCTAGCTGGATTTGTAAGGTAGAATTGGGATCATGACAGTGGGGTGGGAGGGGTGGGAGGGGATTAAAGAACTAGAGGAAAGTTGTATGCTTTGTTGGTGCTATACTGCACCCTGACTGCCTTGTCTCTTCCTTGTGACCCTTCTGAAAGGGAATGTCCAGTTGTCTACAGATGGGCTCTGGGTCTCCACTCCACACACACCCTCATTCACATCTATATGATTTTTTGTTGTGAGTTTTTGATGTCTGATATCTGATCACATCCACACCTCATGATCACACAGGCTGGTGTGCTTCTTCCATGTGGGCTTTGTTGTTGCTTCTCGGCTAGATGGCCACTTGTTTATCTTCAAGTCTCTAAGACCCCAGACACTATATCGTTTGATAGCTGGGCACCATCAGCTTTCTTCACCACATTTGCTTATGCACCCAATTTGTGTCTCTCTCTTATTGTATATTGCCTTCCCTTTCACCCAAATAACCAGCACACTTAT